CCTTTCCCTCCCACCCTCCCACCCTCTCTCTTTCAGATTTCTGGGAGGATGTGTGTGCCCTCCCTTCGCCCCCAAGGCAGAGTGTATGGATCTGAAGAAGGCCGAGCTGTAACACAAATATGAAACATGGGAATTGCTAAAGTGTTAGAAGGATCTTAGTACATAATTTAAAACACGTGAATACAAAGTTAAATACTGCTCCCCAAATATAATATTTTACTCAGAAATAATTCCTTACAGGGCATCCACAGCTTGAGTTTTGTTAAGTTTGGGAAAAATATTGTGAAATGATAATGACAATATCAGAACAAGAAATATTTTTAAGAAAAGAAAGAGGAAGGGGTTTAGGGGAAAAGCATCTTCCACTTCTATTTAAATGTATCTGAAAACAAACAAACAGACCACAAATGGAAGCAGTTCTCAGAGGGTGTTCGCTGGCGGTTTGCTCTGACATTTTTCCTCACTGGGTAATGCAGAATTACAACACACACACCACTTCAGCGTTCCAGCTCCCCAGGGGAAGCAGCTCCCTGGCCTTCACGGGCATCTCCACAGGGGATATGGGAGGAAGCCTTTGAAACTCAGAACTTTATGGAAGAAAAATGGCTCAGGCTTGGAAGGGTCCCCTTTACTTAGCACCATCAAACTATATTTTGGGCCAAAGAAAAGGTCAGTGTGTTTTGGTGACCAGTATAAGACCATTGTATTTTTAAATACAATGAGTTTTTCCAACTTGTTTTAGATTGTTCGTGAGTGGGAGATTATTAATGTCCAGGCAATGTGTCATGGCACACAGTCGCCATAAACTATTTTCTGTTAACACCCTTGATTGTTAAATATCAAAGCTAATTTTTACACCCTGCAAATAAACTGTTATAAAATAAAATAATACAGCATAAACATGGCTGTGGCTTGATGCTACTCATTTGCACCAAAGATTAAACATCAAAATAAATAAATCACTACAAGGCAAGAAAACAAAGGTGTCAAAACTCTCCAGACCGTGTGAAAGCAAGATACTGAACACGGTAAGTGTCAGTAAAAACTCGGCCCTGGGAAGCCTCAAAGACTTGTCTCACGTGGCATCGTCTGGGCCGTGAGATACCGCCTCAGGGCACCTAGAGGGAGGAGCTGGCCGCTCTCTTTCTCCCCGGCATCCTTTCCCTTGTGTTCTCAATCCACCGTTCACAACTCGGTGAGGTCTGCTTCACTTCTGCTGTGTGCAAGGACCAAGTTAGATGTCATAGCGGTAAACAAAGATGACACAAAGCACAGATCTTGCGCTGGAAGATGATAGAACTATTATCAAAGACAGAAGAATTTTAGAAATAGCCAGGATGCACCGAGAGAATGGATACTTCCTGGCTGTTGACCATGTGCTAGGCCCTGCGTTAGACGGGTCACAAGGGCATTCTGATGGTGACCCTCACGCCATGTGCCCGGGGCAGACACTGTCATCTCTGCCACAGAGATGAAGCAGATGAGTCCAGGAGTGGCGGAGCGACCAGCCCGAGATTGCACAGCTGCTCAGCGGCCCAGCTAGGATTTGAGCTAGGATTTGTCAGACTTGGGAGTCTGTGCTCTCCCATGGTCAACGTTAGGTGACACCAGAGCTGTCAGGGTAACGAGCACAAGGAAAGGAGAAATTATAGCCTGGAAAGTGAGGAAAAGCATCGTACTTGAGGAAGAATGAAGGGAGGTTGTATTTGGCTATTTGGAAACCCAAATGTGTCTAAGGCTTAGGTTAAAAAAAAAGCCTAAAAAAAGTAAGCACACTGGCTTTCTTTGGGTGAAACTCAGACAGAGCACTGATGGAAAATCAAAGGAAGAAAAGGCTAGAAAACAAGCTGCTGGTGAGGAGCTGAGTGTCAGGCAAGAAATGAGATTTTCTTGCACTCTCGATGGTAAACAGACTGGGATTCAGCTTTGGCTTCAGAGTAACAGAACCATGACAGAAAGTTTTACCTGGTGACTCGGATGCGATGGTGCTGGCTGAGGAACCCTCGGTGCTCCCACCATAGAGAAAGGCAAAGCTAGAGTCTCCTTTCCTGCCAGCCACAGCAGGGCTGGGAGCCAGAGCCACGTGGGCTGCAGTGCAGACCGCCTTCCTGTCCCTCCCCGAGGGACTGTGACACCAACACGGGCGGGAGACAGGAGGGGTGGAGGACGATGCGGGAGGAGACAACAGCACACGCAGAAAGGGAAGGTGCAGGCCGGGAGCCGGCTGGGACAGGTCAGCAGCGCCTGCAGTGGACGAGACCGAACTCTGGAAACCGAGTCACCGGCACATGGTGCTGACCTTGTGGTGCTCCCCGCTGGCCAAGGGCCTCCCCGAACTCCGGCTAAGGTGCAGATTGAGCCTGGGACCTTCCAGATGTGCAGGAGCCGGGTGGGACTTGCAGATGGCCTGGGAGTCAGGGCTGAAAGCTGTGAGGCTGACAGGGTATTGACCCTTGGCATCGAGGAAACGCCTTATCAGAGCTGTGACTGGGCCAAAGCGGGGAGGAAAGTGCTGGGTGTCCCCCATCGCGGGGGAGATGCAGATCAAAGCTGAAGGAGAGATCATTGCACACCTGTCAGGGGGACTGCTGTCAGAAAGACAAGACGTCAGTGCCATGAGGAGGCGGAGAAAAAGGGAACGGAAAGTAGTGATTACCGAAAACAGCTCAGAGGCTCCCCAAAGAATTAAAAGGCAAACTACCCTGTGTCCAGCATCCCACTCCTGTGGACGGATCGGAAGGGAGTGACATCGGTATCTCAGAGAGACAGCGGCACTCCTGTGTGCACTGCAGACCTTCACACAGCAGCCAAGACACGGAAACCTGTGTCTGCCAGTGGCAAATGGATGAAGTACAGTAGATAGATACAGTGGACTATGACTCAGCCAAGACCAAGGATGAAGTCCTGCCTCTCACAGCAATCTGGATGAACCTACAAGACCTTATGTATGAAACAAGCCAAGCACAGAAACACAAGTCCCTCTCACTTACATATGGAGTCTATTCCTAATAGTCAAGATATGGAATCGGGGGAGGCAGACATTGATCGCTGAATAGAATCGTGTGGTACCTGAATGCAATGGAAAATTATTCAGCCTTCACAAGAAGGAAACCATACCACTGATGACCACATGGATTAACCTGGAGGACACTGTGCCAAGTGAACAAGACACAGAAAGGCGCTGTGTGAACTCACACATTTATGTGGAGAATCAAAGTGTGCAACTTCTGGGAGTGCAGAGCAGGGACTGGTGGCGGAAATGGAAAGATGTTATAAGGTAAACAAAGGCAGGGTGTGGTGGTGCAGGCCTGTAATCGCAGCTCCTCAGGACGCTGAGGCAGGAGAATCGCCGGTTTGGGGTTAGCCTGGGCAATCTATGCAGCTCGATGCTCTCTGGATTTAATCCTGCGTCCGTCTGTGTGTCTCTCTGTCACACACACATATTCTCTCTCTCACCTTCTCTCTGTGGCTCTGTCTCTTTCCCTTTCTCTCCTGTCATTTCTCCACTTGCTCCTGTTTCCAGGACCATCTCTCAGTCTACTAGTGCCCAAATCCTTAAGAACTGCCTTGGCATGAAGGAGAGGTGGTCCGAGCTAGACAGAGGTCCTGCCTGACCCTAAAATACATTAAAGACCATAATGTTCGCTCAACACCAGCGCAGCATCTGCTGCCTCACCCTTGCTCCCGGGGCTCGGGGTTAACAGGGAGAGCAGGGCTTTGGATTTGGCCTCGCCTGCTCCCTGATAGTTCGCTCAAGTGAGCATTTGTCTCCTCTGAATGTATGCCCATGTGCACACACACGTGTGATCACACGTGCACACACAACTTCCTGGGGCTGTTGGGAGCATTAAATAAAATGTGTGCAAGCAATGCTTGTGTCATCTCACTGTAAAATAGCTATGTCAAATTTAGGGATCAAGCTTTAACTTCCTTCCTTGTCCCTTCTTCATAAGTAACTCAGACTAACTTGCAATGGAAGAGTGGAAATCACAAACAAGGAAAGGGCATGCTCAGACAGCAACGCAAATTAATTAAAGGTCAAACTTATTCTCAGGAGCTTAGTGTACAAGGAACTGCTCTCCTGGGAAATATACAGGGATTTCTGCTCATCTTATTAGACAGCCTCATGCCGGGAGCTCCTAAGAACTATAAATCATGTTTTTGTGGTTGGGTAGTGGGATGAGCACGTAAGAGATAATTCTGTAGATACTGACTGCAAAGCTATCATGAATTGGCTTATTTATAAAACAATTTAGGGGAAAAATAGCATTCAGGACATTAAGGAGAAAGATGGAAGCTCAATACATTATCGCATTAACAGTTATTATAATGTTTAAGGTAAAATATTAACTTCTCAATAGCATCCTACAGAGCACAATTACTACTGATAATCGAGTTTGAGGTCATTGCCCTATTTCTAGAAACTCACTTTTATTTTTGTATTTCCATCTTCCTACACATTCTGCCCTGTTTCAAAATTTGCTCATTTTCTTCAATCTGATTTAGAGCTCAAAAGATTTCCTGTTGACCGCCCCCATGCTTAATTATAAATCATGTCTGCAGTGGTTGGTTTGTAGAACAAAGTCAATATCCGTCTGTATTAAATCAAATGAAACCAGTAGGATCACGGTCTCAATAATCAGATTTGGATCCTGTTGTGGATTTACAACATTATTAGTGCATGATTAGTTGGGACTTAATGCAAACCAGTTCGTGCCTGACATTCGGTCCTTCTGCCTTTTGCAAAAATCCTTCGGTGCTGGTCCAGATCAGTTAAGAGTTTTGCTGTCTGTGGAGACACACAGTGACTCTCGCCATCTGGCCCAGCAGCTGATGCAGCTCGCACAGCGCTTGGGAGGCTCCCAAGTTTCACTCCTGGGAGGAATATGGTCTCCTGGATGGCATCACAACTACCAGTTCACAGCTTGGTTGTTTGATTTGAAAAGTGCTGCAGAGAAACCTTCATTTTGGATAAATTTGTTAGAAAAGAGTTCACTTACCTGAGGACCAGGCTGCCCCTGAAATGGAGAAGAAGAAAAAGAAAGAAACAATTATAAAATTGTCACTACATAGCATATTTTCAATACCAAGACAGTTTTCTAAATGTTTACACAATATTTCTGGAGAGTACCTAATTGAGAAACTTTATTAATTTAAAATACCACATTGCATCTTAACATTTTTACTCTATAATATTTCTCCAAAATCTGATGCCATGGTGCATTGCATATATGTATCTCCAAAATGACTCAAAGGTTTTAGCGTTCCCCAGAACGTAACTGGAGGAGAAATCACAGAAATATCACCCCTTGCATTGCCATAATCGGTGGGGTACATCTTTCAGCACAGACTCTTACTCAGCTATGAAGTCAAACATTGCACAGTTACAGGAAGGGGCAGGGTCATTTTCAAACTCACTGAGCGACTGAGTTCTTCCTTGTGTCAGTAACATTTTAATAAACGTGCATCTTTCATTCTGCACACACCTAAGGCATTTTAAAAGGTTATGGGAGGACTCTGGGTCGGACAGCATTGTAACACCATACCCAGTCAGTAGATTTTGTCAACTTGGCCAGTCGAATGTGTTTTGAATCAATGTCACTTTCTTATTGTCTAAACTACTGACAGTTTCAAAGCAGTACAATGGTGAATGCTTCTGGTGAAAGAAAATTCACCTGTTAAAGTATTGATGATGCATCAGCTTCTTAAAATCACACACTGAATTTTGTGTCAGATGAGAATAATGAAAAAGTTCCTACTGAGTCAGGGAGTCCATGGGATCGGCTGTGTGTGCCGGGTGCCAGCCTCGGGCATGTGCTCCCTGAGCCCCTGTCCAGGCCTGGGCTTTCCCTAGGAAGGCGATCTCCAACTCCCTGACGATGCTCAGGAACTCTGCCTGGAAAATGTGCTGGGCTGGTTTTTATCTGGTGGCCCTAGACAAGGTGCTGAACCCAGTCAGTGCAGCTCTTGCCCAACCCCCCTGTGCTTCAGGTGGCGATGAGGAAGAGAATCACATGCATTCACCATCACTGAGGACTAGGCACCTCTGGATTGGAGGGACAATGGCTCTGCCTTTTGCAAATGGAGAAACTGAGGCTCACAGTGATAAGCTAAAAGCCACACAGCCTATCTATGGAAAATCCAGAACGTAACACCAAAACTGGCTGCAAAGCTGACCCGTTTCCTAGCTGCAATTCTGCTGTCTGGTGGCCAAGGTCACAGGTACTTGAAGACAGACCAGGATGGACCTCAGTCCCAGAGTGGTCTTCACATGAGCAGTCTCACCTTCTCCACTCCTGGGGGCCACTGTGCCCAGCCCTGCTTCCCCAGAGCCGCAGGCACCCTGTCTCATAACTGACTGTGCAGGAACCAGGTCCACACAGCATAGTGAGGGGAACAGCCCTGGAACCAGCACCCAATTCAGAGCCTGCAGAGGCGGCACCCTCTCCTGACAGGTAAACAGGGCATCTCCTGGATCCTCAAAGTGGGCGAAAATCGCAGAACCCGCATGGCTTCCTTCCACACTCTCCCTTTAGCACTGGTCTCTCTGAGGGGGTCCTGGGCCTTTGCCCCCACCACTTATTATTTTGAAATAAGATCTCCCTAAGTTCCTAAAGTTGCCCAGTCTGCACTCAGCTCAAATGCCATCCTGCTGCCTCAACCTCCAAGAGTGCTGGGATTACAAATGCACACCACTGCCTGGTGCCTCCGTTCCCTTTAACTTTTTAGATTTTCTGATGTTTTGAACTAACGCAGAGTCTGAAGTATGAATATGCATTTTTATAGAACCCTAAAATAGATCTCTTATAAAGTGTATGAAAAATTAAAGTGTGGGATTGTTTAAAATCAGACAAAATTTCTTCAAAAGAATCAACTGAGCACAATTGCTGAGCTTTTCTGATTCCTGTAGTTGCTCTGCAGATGATGGAATTGTTCTTTTCATCTTTCTAGTGTGGCATGTTGGCCGTTACACTAAGCAAGTGACTTCGCAGAACATGTGCACTTACACTGTAACACGCAAATGTGTGTGGTACTGTGGATTTTGCCTGAGAACTAGAAGTGAAAAATGACAGTAAAATCTGAAACGCAGAGGTCTGCATCCATACTGCAAAGTATGTGAGCACCGGAGAAGCAGGATTACTCTGCAGAGTGACAGGCACTCCGGGTCTGTGTGGCACGTGTGCGTGGATATGGGGGCACGTGAAGGTCAGTGGGTGTGGTTGCTGCATCTATCTCAAGAGCTCCCTGGAGAAACAATGCATGCAACATGAGTGATCGGTGACTCTGCCCTGAGACCCAGGTGTCCCAGTGAGCCACGAGACCTAGGCAAGATTCGGGGGTCGCCTGCGCCCTCTCTGGGTGATAAGATGAGACGGTAGCAGCTGGGGGTCCTGCAGGCACCACAGAGGAGCCATGGGGCCCAGATGATGGGAGAAAGGGCTGGGGATGCTCCCACGGTTAGGTCAAGCCATCAGGGATGAGTATCTCGGACCGCCCTGATGACCAAGGATAGCGATAGCAGGTGACAAAGATTGAGCCCCTGACTAATCGCCAAAAGAGTTCTTTCAGAAGGCCCTGCCACTGCGCCTGAGAGTTTTGTTGAGAAGCAGAAGCTCTTCTAATATGTTCTGATTTACAGGTAGTGAACATGATTAACTGGGAAGGTTGATTTTTCACAGTTTTCCAAAACACTCCCTAAGCGAATACTAATAAATTATGATTAGTGCTTACCAAGCGCATATGAACTTGAGTTTTAAAACATGGGCTTCCTGAAAGGGACCCTCTCTCTCCCTGAAAGCAAATCACCAAAATGCTTCTATAAATAAAAACCCTGATCCTGTGCACTCAGGACGGACGCCAAGAGAAACAGTGAAGACTCAGAAACTCTGGACCCAGGACGCAGACCCGGCACAGGACAGTGCTGGAGGGTGACAGCCCCTGATTCCCTGTCTCTCCACCATGGAGACGAGGTCCCCCAGACAGCTCGTGCCCTGGCAGGAAGGAAGAGGTGCCTTCAAACCTGCAGTCAGAACTGTGCATTGGGAAACAACGGCCAGTAGCGGATGCCTGACCCGAGAGAGGGCCCGCGGGAGTGAGCCACACTGTGATAAATGAGACCATCCGGCCGGCGGAGCGCGTAGGTCCTTCAGGCAATTAAAAAGCAATAGTGACCCTTCTTTCTTGGGATGTTAGCACAACGAGGCTGTCGGAAGTGGTAACTCTCTTTGCCAAATTGACAACAAAGTCATTTGGATTCCTGACTGAGGCTGGGAGTCTATGTGATTCCTTTTTTCATGGACAGTGCATCCGTGTCCTTCCATTCAGATGGGATGAGTGTTATTTTTCTTTAAACTAGACCTGTGCATAGTTAGGGACACACAAGTCATCCTTTCAGAAGACTGTGTCACTGGGGAACGTCGGGCAGCGTCAGACTCTCAGGCATCTTGACTGTGACTGATTTTAAACACACACTTTTCCCCTCCAAAAACTTGAGAGCATATCAGTACTGCTTGTGCAGCTCGGAAAGCTACTTGCTCTGCAATGGGGTCATTAGAAAGAAACGGCCTTAGCATCTCGGAAGAAGCTAAGCCTGAGGTTTACGAGCATTGTGTTCTCGGGCACTGAAAGATGTCACTGTTTTGTTTCGTGTCTCACCGTCTACAAGGGTCACTTGAAGGTGACCGTTACAATCTCACCATCTCCAAAAATTCTCAGACTCACACGCTCCCATGCTGAGCTGATTTTCTTTCAGTAGAAAACAATGTCTGTAACAGGCACCCCGGGAAGGTCTAGAACCCCAGGAAGAACTCACGTGACAGTGGTTACAGATCACTCAAGGACTCACAGGAATCCTGCTGGACATACAAGTGTCCAATGGCATGGATCGCTAAGCCTCTGCAGAGTGGTCCACCAGCAGTGTTGCCCATGCCAGCAAGGGAAACAGATGTCCCATGCACTGGTGGCCGGGGCAGCAGGGACCCCACCACCCCTCCCTGTACTGGGACTTTGCTCGTGTTTTCATCTCTGGTATGCAGGGATCTGGTATCTTGGGGGCTTTCAAAGCAGTTGCTGAACTGCTGTAAACGGAATATATTCTGACTGGCCCCAAAGGACTGACAATGATTTTCTTTTTTTTTTTGGCAGAGTCTCACTGTGGAGTTCAGGCTGCCCTCAAACTCATGGCAACCCTCCTGTCTCAGCCTCCCAAGTGCTGGTACTCCAATTCCACAACAATGATATTCTTAAAGAATCATTCAAAGGGTTATTCTTCTTACATTATATGTTAGATTTTCAAAATACAGATTCAACATGTCATAGTCTGGAGGGTGTTCTCTTGGCTTCTGTTCACTGCAGAATAAAAACTGCCTTGCTCAGTTTATAAAGCTGGACCAGGCAGCACAGACCTTAGAGACTTCACCTGGGGACGCAAGTCCCCAGTGACACACGCATGCCACCTGACAGGAGCTGAGGGCTCTGTCTGAAGAAACATTACTCCTTAGTTTGATGAAAACTCCACATCCAATTACCAAGAAAAGATTCTCTCCAATTCCTTTGTAAATTACAAATATAGTGTGGTGATTTCAAGTAGGTTATTTGGTCAGTACTAATAATTCATTCCAAATTTAGATAAAAAGTGCCATGAATTTTTAAAACTAATTAATATGCAAATGGTTTATGAGAGAGAGACACAGAGAGAGAGAGAGAGAGACAGAGAGAAAGACAGACAGACAGAGACAGAGAGACAGACAGACAAAGTGCCGTGGGTTATGTGTGTCTATTAAAGAGTAGCTTTGCAAGACCAGGTCTGCCGCTGCTCTTGCTTCCTAGGGCTCTCGAGACCTTGACTGAAATAAACATTAGCCATAATTCATGTCACCTGCTGTGCTGCCCTGCAGGACAGGTATTAGTGAGTCTTACCTTAGCTGCGGTCACATAAGGCTGCTTAGATAAGACTCTTTCAATTTAAAGTTTTCTGCTGAAAAACACTTAATCCTCTACGGTTTTAATGTTGGAAAAG